TAGCGAGGCCAGGAGCCCCTAGTAGCGTCCTTGTTCCTAGTAGCAAGGCCAGGAGCCCCTAGTAGCGTTCCTTTGTTCCTAGTAGCGAGGCCAGGAGCCCCTAGTAGCGTCCTTGCTCCTAGTAGTGATGCCAGGAGCCCCTAGTAGCGTCCTTGCTCCTAGTAGCGATGCCAGGAGCCCCTAGTCACGAAAGCTAGCACCAGCTAGCTGGAGTTGTCCTTGCTTTAGCAAGTGAGGGGCTGGAATCCTCGAGAGCGCCGCATCACGTGAAGACTTCATATGTAGAGGCCCCCCCCCGCGAGTTCAACTCCTCCCTGGGACGCCTCTGGGACACCTCTTGGACACCTCTTATGGCATCCACTTTGGTTCAACTCCTCCGTGGAGGTTTTGGGATACGATGCAACAGATTCAACAGATTCACAAGCTAAGGTTGGCTGTGTCATTGCTGTTCGTGTGTCTTACATGTTCACAACGTTTTACCTCATGAGCGAGACCTTGTGAACCATCCCTCCAACAGCCCCATGCCTATGAAAAAGATTTGCCTCACTCCGCTTGATGTCCCACCAGTCCTTTGTCACTGGACGGCGCTGTATGCTTCGCCTCCACTGACACGGATGCATCCCTGCTAGGTTTCGTCACCTACCCTCGGCCTCAAGTAGCATCCTTGCTCCTAGTAGCGATGCCAGGAGCCCCTAGTAGCGTCCTTTTGGTTGCAGCAAATGGTTGGAAGTTCCAGGACGACTCTGAGTTCCAAGACTTGAAGTCTCCAGATGCCAACTCTGGGACATATCAGCGAGTTCATTCAAGTAGTTCAGTCATGTTCAGTCTACATATTCAATTGACGGCATTGTGTTTTTGATTATGTTTGATGTTCAATTTGATGACCCAAAGGTCGGTTGCGTGTTGGATTTCGTTTGTATTTTTCTTCTTTGCTTGCTACTTTCAATGATTGCGCATTCCTCCTCCCGTTTGGCAGACTGTGTAAGCTTGCAAATTGGGTGAGCAATGGTGAGTGCCGGGGGTCCTTTGGCTCTGGTCTTTAGGGGAAGTGTACACATGTCATGTACATAGCACGAAACTTTGGGTAGAAAATACTATGAACATCATCATACTAGCACATGATCCATGCTTCCAAGGCCCCAAAGAGCCGTCGGTGGTGCTCACGAGCCTGTCTGAGCTGAATGAACTTTTAGCCCGTGATTTGCCGGCTCTGAACCATGCTCTGCAACATCAATTGCCATCAACGCTGGGCAACTGCCAGGAAGGTCGGAAACGGAGCAGCACACAACGCACATGACACGCCCAAAGAACAGCGACTGAAACGAGAAGGGTCCTTGCTCCTAGTAGTACGGCCAGGAGCCCCCCCGAAGCTTCTTGCTCCTAGTAGAGATGCCAGGAGCCCCTAGTAGCGTCCTTGCTCCTAGTAGTACTGCCAGGAGCCTCTAGAGTAGCGATGCCAGGAGCCCCTAGTAGCGTCCTTGCTCCTAGCGATG